AGTAAAGATGGACCAGCACATTAGGACCGCCATCATCAGGAAAAAAAGCAGGATGAGATTGGTCCCTGATCTGATCAATAGCAGCATAAATGTCGTGATCTGCCTGAATTGTGATTCCAATCAGATTCCAACAATCTTTAGCAAACTGACAACCCAAAAACAAATGATCAACTGTTTCCTTAGATGCTGTCTGACATAAAACACAATCATAAGAGTCAAGGTGCATGTTTTTCCTTTTTAGAATGTTTCTGGTACTTAACCTGTCTTTCAGAAGCAGCCTGGCAGAAACTCTTCCATAACCATTTGAACACCTGAGGGACCTGCCTGTGTCCAATGAGGAACTTGTATGCTTTTGATGCAGAGAAAGTTCCCCAATCTGTACACCATACATCTTCCTGTTCAGATAATGGAAAATGATCTCTGAAAGACTGAAGGATTTGCAATTGCTGAAAAGCTTCAGTTGACAGAGGTAGACTGAAAAGATCCTGGGTGAGCTGCTGAGAGAAAAACTTGCATGCCGTGATTGCTTTATTCTTTGCAAAAGAGAACAATTCTGGGTATTCCAGCTTCAAAGGTTGCTGGATCCATTTATCAGACCAAAATAAACAAGATTGACCATTTTGGACTTGGACTGTAGAGAAAGATTTGAAGCAATCTAGTAACTTTAGAATGTCCCTCAACCAGAAAGAGCCCTTTTTAATGTGGCTTGGCAATTTCCCATTTGAGTAGTTTTTCCCAAACTAGTGAGACCCATGGGATGTCCTTCTTGTTAAAAAAATTTGTCCAAATTTTTCATCAAGAGTGCTTCATTGTGCTTTTCCAAATTTATGACTCCTAAACCACCTTCCACTTTGGGAGCACATACCATTTCCAAAGCTGCTTTTGGCGCCTTTTTTGAGTTAATGCCAGCCCCTCTCCAAAGGCAATGTTTCTTGAATTTGTCAATTTGTTTAAGCAACCCTTTTGGAAGAGCAAGGGCACAAAGGTGAAAGGTACGTAGGGAGGGCTGTCAAAACATCATTTGTTATTTCTAGCTTTCCAGCTTGAGAGAGGACGGTGGAGGTGCAGGCCAACCTTCTTTCACACTTGGTTACCAAAGGAAGGTAATCTTCAATTCTTGGCTTAGTGATGCCCAAAGGCAGTCCAAGGTATATACCTTGCTTCCATTTTACCTGCATATAAAAGAAATTATGATGGAATTGAATGTTTCAGGAATCTTGTCCATGGAAGTGATAGTCCTGGTAACGGCAAGCGTGAAATTGGTAAGTTCTGCAATAACTCAGTATGACTCTATATGTTGCTTTTAGGTGATTTCTTGAATCAATGATCATTTAAAACAATTGGCAAGGTATAGTAATCTTTTGTTCAAACTTTGAGAACTGAACTGAGGATTGGATTAGTTGACATGACAATCAGGAGCAGGATTAAGAATATGAAACTGATGGTGTGTCATGTACTTAGTGATATGGCCTGCATATTATCTTGGACCTAAATTTGTTTTGGCCTGCCAGCTATTATTGTTAACAATATGAAATGACGAGCTCAAACTACTTTCCTACTTGCAGCTCTATGGTTCAAAGAAGACGAGCCCTTGTTAATCACTTTGAGAGTTGTATTCAATGTTTTTTTTTTCTGTTCAACTTGATTCAAGGAGCCATGTATGAGAGTATGAGTTTAGTTCGGCTAAGTAAATTAGCTTATGAGGGCTCAAATTATCGGTACCTTTTAATCTTTTACTTGGAGGTTCTTTTTGCGATATTGAGGATCGGATTTGTGCAATTGAAACCTTTGATCAGTTGTTCATGTTGAGAAGCTAATTTCTTCTCATAGTTATATGTCCTATTTTTTTACAATTTAGCTCTTTTCTTAAAGAAAATTTATGTTTGACCCCCTGAAAGAAGTAAACTCATCTTTGGACCCTGGTGTCGGCACCAGGACTCATGGCACCGAGGTAACACGTCTCGACACAGATTTTGACGCCGAGGTGCTTGACCGAAATTCTAGGTGATGTTGACGTAGCCGGTACCTCGGCGCCATAATATATGACGCCGAAGTCAGCGCCGTAGATTTTGACGTCGACCTCGGCGTCACCTCCGAGCATGGATAATCAACAAGAACTTGTCAGCGTCACGAACTCTGGCGCCGAGCATAGATAATCAGCAGGAACTTCTCGACGTCTGCCACTTTGTATTGTTTTAATTCAAAAGCGAGAGTGTAGCAGTGCTGTGAATGTCCGGCAGCGGCGCCCATGCTTTATTAATTCAAAAGCTTTGTCTGCGGCGTCTGCCACTTGGTCTCGATATCCGTACGTATTCTCCACTGCTTTGTATTGGTGCCATATCTCTCATATGCTAGGTAGGAGTTCCAGTTTCAATACGCCAGCTAGCAGCGTACTACTACTGACTGCAGCCATATCTGCGGGCTATACTGTGATTATGAACCTGGCTTTTGCATATACGGTGTATATACTCCTCCCACACGGCTTGTACTTGTACTATAGCAGCATCACTGGCGAGGGAATCACGAGATGTGAAAGCAAGCAAGCAGCAGCGACGGGGCCAATGAAAGCTTGTACTGATGCGCTGACGTGGTTTTCGCAGGTGGGGCTTGGGCGGGTACGTTCGTCTGGTTAGCTGTGTATTTTTTCAGTCAACAAATTATATTTTTCTTTTATAATAAATTAGCTAATCATATTTTGGCTTGTGAGACTAGCGGACAGTCAACTACGATTAAACGTATGGGGTGCTATAGGAGTGACGAGACAGGAACAGTGGTCAAGGTTTTTAATTTCGGTATCGTCAAAATTTTGGCCACCACTGAAATTACTGAATTTCACGAAATTCAGCCAAAATTTCGTCGAAATTTTTTTTAGAGATTAGCACATGAAGTATGTTTTTTCTAAAAAAATTTAGATCTAAATAAATATTAATATGATTTATGACTACATATCTATTAAATAGAAGAATATACAATATAAACAATAAAAAAAAATATAAGATTAGAGTTATATAGCACATGTATTAGTGTATTAAAAAATTTCGGAATTTTCTTTCGGCCACCACCAAAATTATCAAATTTCGTGAAATTCGGCCGACCTGCGCCGGTGGTGATGCATTGCTCCTGCTACAGTGCTACTAGCAGTACTCCTACTGTGCAAACGCTGCAGCCGTGTGCCCATGCGCAGTGTGCAGTGGCCTTGGGAACGACGCTGCCTCGCGCCGCGGTGCCACTACTGCCACCGCTTTGGTCAGGTCAGGGTCAGGGCAGTGAAAGCCCACCCAACGCTTTGAATGCACGATCGGCGCCGGAATACATGGCGCCGAACTCGGCGTCAAATCTACGGCGCCATGTATTCTGTCGTCGAGGTACCAGCCACGTCAATATCACCTAAGATTTTCTATTGTGCATGACCAGACACCTCGACATCAAGATATATGACGCCGAGACGGCGCCGATCCCTATGGATCTAAAGATGAGTTTAAGTCTTCCAGGAGGTCAAATGTAAATTTTCTAAAATGAAAAAGGGTCAAATTGTAAAAAATTAAGGTTACATATAAGGTCTTGAATGAATTACACGCAAAAAAGTTACAAATCGTAGCGCATTTTGTTCTATTTCAGATACAATGGTATACATGGAACATATATATTATCATGAAGCAAAACTGAAATACCCTTCTTGCACGAGAAAGACAAGATGTGGGTGAAAGGAAAATAGTTTTGGCATTGATGGTGAAAGTACAGTACAGCGGAAGCCGGTTATTTTGCACTGCATCAGGTGCGGTTCTTCACAGGTATGTGTCTTGACAAGGTTGTCATCGGCAATAATACCCAGCAACTTTGAAATTAGCTAGCTAATATATACGTGTCAGTCCTATAAATGTACACAATGACAACAGATTATTGTCATTTGTAGTAAGAAAATAGAAGAAAAAACACTAACATGTACACACAATGACAATGGATTCTTATCATCTGCTAGTAATAAGAAAATAGAAGAAAAGAAACACGAACATCATAAACATAAATATTCGTTCACCAGCACTTTTTATTAAAAAAATAGACGCATGAAAACAGAGGATATATAATTAGCATAATAACATGGTCTCCAGGAAAATGAAACTTAACAAAGTACACACAAGATAAACAAATATAATTTGTGTTTGCTTATTTTCAATCTTATGACATTTATACTGAAAATTCTGACGGAGCAAAGTGCATGCGGATTTTGGAGGCTTCAGGTTTGTAGCGCAGTCAACCAGTCCTCTTAGGCCTCGTTTAGATGTCAAAAATTTTTGGCAAAATACACTATAGCGGTTTTCGTTGTTATTTGGTAATTAGTGTCCAATCATAGTCTAATTAGACTTAAAATATTCGTCTCGTGGATTTCGTCTAAACTGTGTAATTAGTTTTATTTTTTAATTATATTTAATGCTTCATGCATGCGTCCAAAAATTCGATATGACGGGGAATCTTGAAAAATTTGGCAAAATTCTAAACTGGCTCTTACTCAGGTTTCTGTTTCACTTGAGGAATTAGCTGGTCTGTACGTCATATTCCCGTCAGCGAATCTTTGGCCATGCATCATTAAATATAAATAAAAATAAAACTAATTACACAGTTTAGACGAAATCTACGAGACGAATCTTTTAAGCCTAATTAGACTATGATTGAACACTATTTGTCAAATAACAACAAAAACGCTACAGTACTCATTTTGCAAATTTTTTTGCATCTAAACAAGCCCCAGGTCTAGTACGTACAGCCGCCAATCTTGAAGCCCTCTTCTCCTCTCGAAGTTTCTCTTGTGCTTCTTCCACAAGTGATTCGTGTTAGAGAGTGACCAACTGAACTCTATTACAGGCCCAAAAGGACAAATATACAGTATACATATGCAAAGAAGCCCTCCAAGTAGAGGGAAAAGACATACTCATCCTATACATCTAACACCCCCCTCTCAAACTCATGGTGGATCTACAACACTGAGTTTGGAGAGCAAAAATCTATGTTGGGCCCGTGTCTTGTGCCTTGATGAAGAAATCCGCTAGCTGAACTTCTGAAGGCACATGGTGGAGGGTCACAACCTGATCTTGCACCTGCAATCTCATATAGAAAGCATCAACGCCAATGTGTGTTGAATGGGGTGTCATATGAAAAGAGGCACCAGAGTCGAGGAACCATGGGGATGACGTACCTGACGGAGGAGGAGGAGGAGCAGCAGAACAAGAAGCCTGAGCAGTAGTCTCGGAAGCAGACTGAGCAGTAGTCCCGGGAGCAGAGGCCTGAGCTGCAATAGTAAGGCGACGAAATAGGGCAAGAACCTCTTGTTCCGCTGCAGACACGAAACGAGTGCCCTTGGAGGAGCCCTGAGAGGAGCGCCTGCTATGATGCCCCTGTCGGTCGCACTGCTTCTTGCGACAATCCTTCTCCTCATGGCCATAGAGCTTGCAGTACCCACATTGAACACCAGAAGGTACCCCCGCCACCACAGGAGAGGGCTGAGACAGAGGCGGGGAGGCCTGTGGAGGTGTGGCTGCCAGGACGGAGGGCTGTGGTGGAGCACAACTCACACCCGCAGCTCGAAGACGTGTCTCCTCAGCTCGTAGCTCAGGCATCACCTCTGAGAGCGATGGACGTGGACGATGAGTCAGTAGCTGTGCCCGAACAATCTCGAACTCGGGGCAAAACCAAGAGAGAAACTCGTGAAGGCAAAGGGTGTCTCTCTGGTCCCGGTGACGGTCACAACACCGACAAGTACCACCACCATAGAACTCAGTGCCCAAATTGTCCAAGACATGCACCGCCACTTGACTCTTCCCCATTCGTCCTTGGACCTCCTCCCGAGTTCCTCCTTGCTATGCTATTCGTGACCGCAGCACCCTTCGTCCTCCCGATCACCTTGGTTTCACTGCTACCGTTTTTGGCTGAGCCCACGACCTATCGGGAGGTTGTCGCTCATTAGGAGCGGCAGCATGCTATGGCTGAGGAGATTGCTGCCCTAGAGCGTACTAGTACTTGAGATCTTGTTCCTTTGCCTCCTAATATCACTCCCATCACCTGCACCTTTTGTTTCAAAAGGGGGTGTTAGATGTCTGGCATCGCCCGGATAGTTTGGGTGCTGAGTTCTGTGGTGGTGGTACTTGTTGGTGTTGTGACTATCACCGGGACCAGAGAGACACCCTTTGCCTTCATGAGTTTCTCTCTCGGCTTCGCCCCGAGTTCGAAGACGTGTCTCCTCAGCTCGCAGCTCAGGCATCACCTCTGAGAGCGATGGACGCGGATGATGAGTCAGTAGCTGTGCTCGAACAGTCTCAAACTCGGGGCGAAGCTAAGAGAGAAACTCGTGAAGGAGAAGGGTGTCTCTTTGGTCCCGGTGACAGTCACAACACCGACAAGTACCACCACCACAGAACTCAGCGCCCAAACTGTCCAAGCGATGCCAGACATCTGTCATCTAACGGTGGAAGTCCTCGACTGTAGAGTCAAGTTGACGAAGTGACTGAGCCTCCTCAACAACAGCAAGGTACATCGCCTCGTTACAGATCTCATAACTGTGACGGAGGTGATCCCACATGAGGTGTGAGGTGGCGAGACCTCTGAGGGACCGTGAGAGATCGATCTCCATGCTCGCAAGTAAGATAGCCTTGGCAGATTTCTCCTTGCACAGCCAAGTCTCATAGAGACTAAGATCAGACCAGTAGCTCTCCATCTGAGCCTCAAAGGCATCAAGTAAAGCACTCTTGGCATCATCATCAGCATCTGGCGGATATGTGGGCGGCATGGGGAGAATAGGACATGGAGGACAGATCCGATCGCTCGTAAGGTAGCCCCACAGCAGCTGTCCATCCATGTAGACCTCCATATGGAAAACGAAGTCGCCCTAATTTATGCCATTGAAAATGACGGGACACTTAGGGACACGAACAGCACCCAAGCACCGGGTGACACCATGGGAGATGACAACGAGCCTCTGTGTTTTTCTTTTCTTTTTTTTTTGAAAGAAAAGAAGAGGACCTGACCGGCTCGCTACTCACGCGAGCAGAAACGGCGCGGCGCGAAGAAGCCCGCGTGGGGGCACGCGTAGGAGGCCGCATGGGGCGGCTCAGGTCACTATGTAAAAAAAGGACATTACAGACATGCATTGGGGCACATTACAGACGCGTAGCGCGTCTATAATAAGGTCTTATTACAGTCGCACAAAAAACACGTCTGTGAAAACGCGCCTGTAATAAGGTTCTGCTACAGACGCATATACACTACACGCATCGTGAATAGGGTTACACGCGTCTGAGATAGGATTAATCACAGACGCATATAGTCAAAACGCGTCTGTGATAACCCCTTGTCACAGACGCGCATAACCTACACGAACCCCTTGTCACAGACGCGCATAGCCAACAAGCGTCTGAGATAATAAATTAAAAACAAAAAAATATAAATTCTAGTGCCAGGATCTTATCTACATCATACATGACACATCAAATGAATTATATACAGTAGTCAATTGCTAATTAGCAATTTCATATACATGAAGTAGTATCAAAAGCCATTACATGTCCCTCCAACATACTGCAAGTAAACCTACTTGCTACTTGAACTAAGAAGATAAGAAGCAACAGGCATGTAGCTAATAATCTTCTAGAAGGAAAGGAAACTAACTTCAAGACAATGCTTCCTATGAATAGTCTGCACATACTTCTCAGTTCACAGATGACAAGTCATTATACCTACAAAAAGAAAATACATACAAGTGGTTAGATTATGATCTCTATTGATTGAAAATGTATCATTATTTCATTCACTCAACTTGTAAAATTACAAGTTCAGTTCAGCTGACAAAGATAAATAGCAACAGAAGCACTTGGCACTTGGACTGTAAACTCATGAAGATGGAGACCTCTATTTTAGACAGGGTGATGGTAACTAATAAATAATATGCAAGTATGCAAGAAACTGTACTTGGCCTATCTAGCACTACAGTAATAAATGCTGGTTATATGCTTATATGACCCCTACTTACAAGGGGAAGCTTGGAAGAACATAAGCAATAAAATGACAACAGAGTTTTGACAGTTAACTTGGGATGCTTCCAATGAGTTCTATATAAGTTCAGTGAAATTAATGATACAGTTATCTGACTTAGCAGTATATATCCTACTCCTATGCATTACTAAAATGACAAATAGTAAGAAGGTTAGAAAGACACGAGGTTCTGCAGATGATTTTCATACCACTGTGATGCGACGTTAACGGTGAGAAGAAGCTTCCCCTTGTAGGTACTGAGGTCAACATCTTTGCTGCTCGCATCCTGCACACTAGCAGCATGCAAAAAGCCATCATTAGACTCCCTTTGCAAATTCACCATTTTAGTGCAAGTATTCCATGATGTCAATGTAACTGAAGGTACTGAGGCTTTATATCAGTTAAATTTTGGCATAAGCACAAGTCATACACATCATCCCAACTAGGACAGAAAATTATCTGATTCCTATGAGGGTTAATTAAACTGATTCATACCTAACTGCTTTGAATTCTAACGATGATAGCATGTTCCTTTTTCCCTCCTTTTCTGAAAGAAAAACATTGGATGGCAACACTTGTATGCATGAAATATTTTTGTTGAATATTACTACAAGGAAACTGATAGGTTAGGACTCAGATCAACAGAGATGAATCATTAGAGTCCAGAGGCCCAATCAAATAATCACATAAGACACATGGTGAGAACAAGGGAAGGTTATTTGAGCACTACATCAGATAAGATGCAAAGGACTTATGCTGCAAAAGACAGATCGTATTTGGGAAACAGCTACAAGTATCAAACTGCAAAAGAAAAAAACTAGATTGAGTCTCTAGAACTGTACAAACCTAAAATACTGTTCTCAAAAGAGGCCTGTTAGCATCATGTTCTCACCCAATGTCATGACACCACCTGTAGATCGTATGATAATTAAATATCTCTGTGCTCACCAAAACTTTAACTTTCAATAAAGCAGTAATATGTGAAATAAAAACTCACAAATTTATCATAATAATGTCTAAAACTGCAAGAGCAAACAGAGCACTCATGCTTTTCAAAAGCTATACACAGAGCAGGAAAACTTACATGACTAGGTGGAATATGTTTTCCACTCGGGGGTTGAGCAAGACAGTGCCAAAACTGTAAACCACGCTCTCAAGACTTACTGTGCCTGCAGAACAGACAACAGTTAGAAAAAATAGAGAGCCACACTCTTTGCTTTGAAAGTGAACTAAGCCTTACACATGAATATTTCTGTCAACTCAAATGGAGATGTTAAGTCACTACAAAATTCAGTAGTACAAGCTAATAAGAACTTGAACATGTGTACTAATCCATGCTAAGGCTAAACTTGTACATGGAAGTAACTTATGCATCTGGCCATTAAAAAATTCCATGTAATGTACTGGTTAGCCTCCCCCAACCCCTATTCAGTAAGTACACGGATACGATCTTTGTCAACTTTACTGTCAATAAGTCCTAAGAGTTTGCATCTGGCTTTTATTGTCAAAGGTATAAACTGACCTTTTGGTCAGTTCTCACTGTCAGTTGTGCACTGGATTTTACTGGTTGGGATCGTAGTTGTACCAGTCTCCAGATTGAAGTAATGTTTTTCTAATCAACACTAGTAGAGAAACGACCTTTGATCCCGCCTCGAAATTTGGCTTTAGTCCCGGTATTTTTCGCGTCCGGGACTAGAGAGACCTTTAGTCCCGATTTATAGCTCCAACCGGGACTAAAGGTCCCCGCCTAACGACTCCATCATGGCAAGAGCTTTTCTTTGAGGGACCTTTAGTCCCGGTTGAAGCTACCAATCGGGACTAAAGGTTAACTTTACTCCCGGTTGGTCCTTTGACCGGGAGTAAAAAGTCTACTCTCATTTGGAGGCTCCGTCCGGGACTAAAAAGGGACCTTTAGTTCAGTTTACTGTCTCCGACCGGGACTAAAGGTCCCTCAACTCAGTTAAATAGTGGACGGGCCACTCACATCCATCTCGGCCGACAAAAAAAGCAGTGGCGCATCCCTCAATCCCCATCTCCCCATCTCCCCACCCTCAATCGCGAGCACATCCCTCCTCTTCCTCCGTCTCTCCTCCCTCCCTCACTCCTCTCCCTCCAGAGCGAGAGGCTGCCCCCCCTCCTCGGCTGGGGGCGGTGGTGGCACGCCAGAGTCTTGGGCGACCCCAGCCCCTCCTCCCTCTCCAGTGGATTCTGGGCGTCGTGCGGCCCTAGGCCCCCTCCTCCCTTTCTACCGATCTGGCGGCGGGAGGCACGCGGGGGCTGGGGCAAACCCAGCCCCTTCCTCCCTCTCCACCGGATCTGGGCTACCTCACGGCGTCCCTCTCTCCCATGGCTCCTCAACAACACGCGGCTCCACCTAGGAGGGCGAGATCCAGTGGAGGACGGAGCCATCGATGCAGGAGCTACGGACCTGCGAGCTGCGGGGAGGCCGGATCCAGTGGTCGTAAGGCCTGATCTGGTGGCGGGGAGACCGGACCCGGCGGGAAGCGATCGCAGTGGGCGGTGCCCGTGGATGGACTCATTTGGGAAATAGGTTTCTATATTCACTGTCTAAATTGGCACAATGTTCCCTAAATCTTATATGAACTCTCAACGGTGAGACTTGATAGTACAATAGCTGTGTTTGGTTGGTGTGTTCTAGTTATGCTTGTCAGAAACTGCTTAGTCGATGTATAACTCAAATATTTTGTGCCAATTTCGAATCACTCCATCGATTTGTCACTTTCGGTTCTTTCCTCAATTGTCATGTGCATTCACGACAAAGGTCTCGAGAATTGACCCATCGATGGTGGTAGTGGCTTTTCACTCTTGCTGAAACAATTTGATCTATCTAAAGATTGCGAGATACAAAGGAGTGAAATCGAGATAGGTTGATGCCATACAAGGACATCATGCAAAGCACCGTTGAGAGTTCGCAAGTTTCACGGCGTATTCGAAAACCAAAGCAATTGATATCAATTAAAATAGAAACAAAAAAAAAAAAAAATTTTAGTCCGGTTGGTAATACCAACCGGGACTAAAATCGATCCTTAGTCCCGGTTGGGCCTAATCGGGACTAAAGTAATCGGATTGAAACCGGGACTAAAGGAGGGGCCCTTTAGTCCTAGATTGGTGCTCCCGGTTCCAAAACCGGGACTGAAGGGAGTTGAGAACCGGAAGTACAGCTCGTGCTCATAGTAGTGCAAAAGCAGCAGTTGTATGGTGAAACTAACCAAAAGAAAAAAAAAGTCCTAGCTAACATTGCTGCATGAAGTGACATGCCATTTTTTCCAGTATTTGAACACTACAAATTTTGACTCAAATAGAGATGTTAAGTCACAACAAATTCAGTACAAAATTTGACTCATACCTACTTTCATGAGCAAGGAAAAAATTCAGAATACCTACAATTTGCAATAGATAGTTCCCTTCAACTATCACTATTTTGTACCTGCCAAAGTCATGGTAATTAGCAATATGCAAGCATCACATCCATACCCATACTTAAGCATTTAAGGAAAGACAGTATTAATCAAGTCTTACTCTACCCATACTTAAGCATTCAAGGAAAGACAATATTCTTACTCTTACACATGGAAAAAGATAGTACTAATCGATTCCAAAATTAACTAACAAGACATTCAATTGCTAATTAGTAAACCTACTTCTACTTGAACTAAGAAGCTAAGAGACATTTGTAAAAGACACAAAATTTCTCTGGTACACACAGGTAAATTCACAATAGAACATATGAACACCATGAATGAGCATGAGATCTGCACAAATTAAAGCAGCTCCAAATCCTAATTAATCTTATCTAAAGCGTAGAGAGAGGAAACAATAGAGCTACACTCAACATTGACAGCTGCCCCTCCGCCACAGCATCATCCTATCATTTGTTGGTTTCTCCTATGGTAGCAACAAGAAGGGCCACCAAAATCAGCTTGACCTGAATCTGTGGATGCACAACTGAGATAAGAATAGAAGGCAGGGTACTTGCATATTGGGGTTGGGGCGAACCACACACGGATGAGGGAGAGGGTGATGATGCAGCAAAGCTACTCCTCGTGGCCTCGTGGGTGGCATCCATGATCCACCTCCCCGTTGCGCACCTGGTCGACGAGTGCCCGCAGTGTTGCTGCCTCTGACGGTTACTCGGCTTCCGTGACTGGGGACGCCTCCAAGAACGAGGATGGGGCCCACCGGTCCTTGCTAGATCTGGAAGAGGGAGGCAGCGTCGGCTAGATCTAGGTGGAGGAAGGCGGCGTCGGTTAGCTCTTGGTGGAGGGAGGAGGCGGAAGAGGAGACGAGAGAGAGGGTGGCAGCGGACGGAGGAAGGATAGTAGCACTGGACGAGCAAGAGTTGAGAGGTGTGGCGGCGGAGGGGGCGTGCTCCCAGTCGATGAGAGAAGACGGAGGGGACGGGGTGGGGAGACGACGGTGAGATCCTAAAGTTTCGACACCGGTGAGGAGCGGATGACCGGCGGCGGCAGCGACGGCTAACCCTAGCACAGGAGAGGAGAGGGAAGGAGAGGAAGGGCGTGGGCGAGTCGAGGGGGATTTTTTTTTTAATTTTAACACTTTTTGTAAACTATTTTTAAATCTAACATTGTTTAATTTTTTTTTCACATCTAACACTTTTGGCCGCGCCTATTTCTCTGACGCGGCGAAATGCCTGTGCCGCATCATGCATGGTGGCGCGGCAAGAGGGATGACATGGCGACGACCGGGACGCTGACCGATGACGTGGCAGGGTCTGTCGCGCCACCGATCTTGGCGCGGCAGTGACGCGCCGTGGCGCATGGCGCGGCAAGGAGGGGATTAATTCGCCTGGCAGTCGCCGCGGCGGCAGAGCACTGCTGCCTGCCAACGTGCTGCGTGTGCTGCCACCACGTGATCACGGAAACCTGGGGCCCCACGTTGTCTTCAGGGCTCATCCTCATCCTCTGCGGCTCGCCCTTCCTGTGGCTGTGGCCTGCCCTACCAAGGACTAGGACTGCTTGGAGCTCAGAGTCTGTGCAATGGCCAGCCAGTTGGAGTCCGCAGGCTGTGCAATGGCCTGGAACTCAGCGAGGAACATGTCTGTGTCGCGGTGATCGGAGGGAGCATAGACGTTCGTAACGGTGAAGATATGCAGCCTGTTCGGGAGGCCGTATCGTATCGTGGATTATTTACTGCTGGCTGGTTTGGTGTGAGAGAAAAACACTATTCTCGGCTGAAAATTTACGATCGTTTACGAGCAAGCGAACAGGCTGATGGTTGGAAGAGGTCGAGGTGAATGACACGGTAAGGCAGTGGTCGGTCTAGGAGACCTCCTCAGCCGAGACCAAATCCGGATTCTAGGGCATGACGATGCCACCGCGGGAGCCATCGGCCGGAGAGCAGATAAAGGAGCTCAGGTAAGCCGGGAGGAAGGCTTTGCTTTTGGTCGAGTCAATTGTGTGTAGTTTGGATTCCTAAATGCACACAATGTGAGGGCGAGAGATGGAGATGGTGTCACGCACCGCGTCACATTTTTCCGGAAGGCCAAGGCCACGAACGTTCCAAGATAACAGGGTATAGTTAAAACGCTCTTGATTCATTAATATAAGATTACACCAGATGGAGTCGAGGAACAAGGCGGAAAAGCACAGAAACAAAAATGGTGGAGTCGCTACGGCAGCCCACCTTCACGGACGCAGCCGGAGAGGATGGAGAAAACGTCCTGCACGCGGACAGGCTAGTTGTTGCCGGTGACGTTGAACAACTAAGGGAGCGCAGAGCTAAGTAGCTGACCCCGGAGCGAACGCAGGCCCCAGGCCCCGGGCTGAGGTGGTTGATAGCAAGGAGCCCTCATGGAACCGTGGCAGTGCCCGACGCCGCGCCCGCTGCAGGAGAGGCCAGCAGCCTGGCAAGGCGCCCAAGGTCAAGCGCCCTGATATGATGGGGTTCTTCCTCTTGAGCAGCTTTCGTCCTGCCACCTGCTTCTTGAGGGAGGCAGAGCAGGCAACCAAGCTCTCGCGCAGAGCCTTGCGCTGAATGGCCTTGGCTGCGACAAGGACGAACACCGTGACAAGGATGAACACTGAACCTTATCCCTACATGCTTCATCAGGGGAGTGCCAGTCGTCTCTCGGGTCTCAGCTCTGGCTCTCTGAGCTCCAAGCAGTCCTAGTACTTGGTAGGGCAGGCCACAGCCACAAGAAGGGCGAGCCGCAGAGGATGAGGATGAGGATGAGCCCTGAGGACGACGTGGGGCCCCCAGGTTTCCGTGATCACGTGGTGGCAGCACACGCAACACGTTGGCAGGCAGCAGTGCTCTGCCGCCGCGGCGTGCGCCCGGCGAATTAATCCCCTCCTTGCCGCGCCATGCGCCGTGGCGCGTCACTGTCGTGCCAAGATCGGTGGCGCGGTAGATCCTGCCACGTCACCGGTCAGCGCCCCAGGCGTCGCCACGTCATCCCTCTTGCCGCGGCGCAGACATTTCGCCGCGCCAAAAAAATAGGCGTGGCCAAAAGTGTTAGATTTGAAAAAAAAATTAAACAATGTTAGATTTAAAAATAGTTTACAAAAAGTATTAAAATTAAAAAAAAAATCTCTCAGGGGAGGGGCCGACGGACGTGAGTCCTGCGATTAAGCGGATTTCATCTTTTTTTCGGGTCCGAGATGAAGGACTACACGTGTGTTGCACACGCGTCGCGGACACAAAAACCTTACTGCAGACGCGATAGAGTATTTTACATACGCGTGTTACCGAAGCAGTAGTAAGACTTATTACAGACGCATGTTGATCCCGTCGGACCAGTGACCCTGGTCGGCGACTTATTATAGACGCGTGTTAGCAATGCGCGTCTGTAACTCATATCACAGACGTGCGTTTGTGTTGGCGTCTGTAGATGACATGGTGGATATGTGGCTTTTTTACATAGTGGGTAGCTGTGACGCGAGGGGCGGGGCGGACCGGCGCGGGCGGCGTGGAGGCACGGGAGCCGCACGCGAGCTGGCGCGGAGGCGCGCGAGCCGTGCGGGTCGAGCGGCCGGTGCGCGAGCGGGGGGCTTGAGGCGGCTCCGACGGCCCCGCACGTGAGGCGCGCGTGCCGCATGGCCGACGCGGAAGCCGCATGGGCGGGCAGGCTCGGCGCGGCACGGGGTCCGGGGCGACTGCGCGACGAAGGCCCTATGGTATTCCTGGCCCAAAGGGGCAAATATACAGTGTACATATGCAAAGAAGCCCCGTACTCCACCGTTGGGGCAACTGAACTCTATTCCTGGCCCAAAGGGGCAAATATACAGTGTACATATGCAAAGAAACCCTTAGGGAAAAGACATATACATCCTATACATCATACAATTCGAAAGTCTTGTCAGGCATCCCCTGTCCCGAACATATCTTGGCTGCGATGTCGTTGAACTGATGAGTCAAATCTTGGTCTTTATCAATCCATCTGAAGCTTATCGCCCAGCACAAGTCTAGCAAGGACTCCTACAGTTGGATTCCCTGGTGTTGCTCACCCTTTTGCTGATAATAAGGGGTAGAGCTGCTTTCCTCTCGATTATCATTATCATGCGGAACACCACCTTGCTCTAGGTCCGGGCCCTCTATCAGAAGAACCTTGCCGCCGTTGTTTGCTTCTGTTACAACTTGTTTTTCTTCAGTCGCGGGCCAATGGACAATTTCTTGGAGCACCTGAGGCACCAATAATGGTAGTTCAGACTTCAGAGTGACAACGATGTAGTACTCTATACAAATATACATGATGCCAGTAATATAGGAATGAAACGGATTTTGTTTTTTTTTAAATATTTGTGCACAGGTTAATTACCTCTGGCATCACACTGGACATGGCTTTCTTCAGCTTCTGGAGATTTTCATCTTCCTTGGGGTAACTTCCACAGAGATGCCTCAGGAACATTGCTGCATGTATTATGTATGCATATTGTTTTCGGCACCTGCAACAGTTCTGGCGAGGCTGCCAATGACGTCACCAACAACTGATGGTAGCATACTCGTGCCACTTGCCTCCGTTTTCGAATGTATCATGGCCTGCATCTTTTCACCTGCTAATCTTGTGGTGTAGCTGCTCTGTTTTAACAGATGAGTGGCGCCGGCGCCGCGCTTCTTGCGAACAAAGTGATAATATGGCTCTGGCACCAGAAAAATGTCCAGTAGTATCCATATGAATATTATGCTGTTGCTTCCATTTCCAGCGGGCACAATGGAGGGCGGTGTATCCGGAGACAGATGCAAGTGGACCTTTGCGGCTTGTCTTTTCAGCAACACTGGACATTTGTGGCACCCCAGGGTTCTAAAGATCGTCGCTTGGCTGTTGCTTGAGATCTCACTTGTCGTCAGCTTTGTTGTTTCGGTCCCTCCTAGAGTAGCCATCAACCGATTCATGAATTCTAGTGATTCCTCTGCTATGATGGACCATTCATCATGATGGTCCCTGTGGAGTTTGTCTGAGGTTAGGTGCGACATCGTCTTGGATAGCAGACCTTCAGTGTTGCTTATGACTCTGCAGTTGTTCTCGTTGATTGCGAGCTTCTGGAGGATAAGCAGGCCTTGCACCACCAGACTTTTGTAGCCCTGGAGCGGGTTACCGTTGCAGTCAGCGGCCCTTGTACAACTTGGAATTTTGTAAGAATCGTTGTACACGACCAGAAAAAAATCTTGTTCATCGAGCAGCCAGTCCCGCTCGTACTCTTTGGGTAGATCCGTATGTCGCCGATGTCCCTCAGGTCGCCAACTGTATTCCTCAAATGTGTCAAGCAGGGATGATATGCACTCAATCATCATCATCCCTTGATCTGGGAACTGGTCCAAACGGATGCTGCCAGCAACCGTTGCCACTATACCGGCAGCTCCCACCCTGATCTCTGTGCTATATGGACTTGTCGGACCAAATGTCTCTACCAGTCGTTGGACCATGTGACTAAAGGATGCCGATCCAGCCAGTAGTTCTTTCATCAGACGGTTTCTGCTGTGCCAAGAATCAGAACCCCAGAAACGTAGCCATACCTTGACTTAGATTCCATCAACAGGTCCACTGCATGTGTCACGAGGTTCCTTCCTCTCGCAAACGATGGATCCTTCATACATCCTTCCACAGTTTCATCTAGGTACTCCGAAACTAAGTCTGTCTCTAGTGAATAATAATTGGCCACTTATTCCACTAGTCCGGTTTTTGCCACTAAATCATAGATGGCCCTCTAGCCATAAACCACACCTTGGACCATGGCTAAGGAGTACAAGACGTTGAGAGCTGGCTTTAGGTTGGCGCCTCCATCAGGGTTACCATAGTCATGTTGTATCAGACGCCATAAAGAAATTCCAGCAGAGAGATACAGCCCAAGCATATACAGAACTGCCAGAGGACACAAGACAATACCAAGCACCAGCACTTGGACAACCAATAAAACATGTGCTACCACCAGGCGTGCATTCGATGGTTCTTTCTCTTCTTGTTTAATTTTTGATGATTTCGCAGAAGTGTTTTGTGTCGTTTTTTGAATGGTTTCACGACCGCGGCAACTACAGCAGCCAGCAAGCCCATCAAAGAATTGCCAACGTCACTTGCCTTTTCCTTTAAAAGGAAATCGAAGACCCTGTTAATAAAGTGTTGCAAGCGAAATTATTAGTCATGGGAAGAAAGGCGAAGCGGATGCATGAAAGCTACCAAACTGATTTATAGAGGACAATGCGAATCGGTGATGAGTTGGGCAAGTTTATAACAACTAGATAGACACTATAGAGTAGTAGTATCTATTATGTTATATAAAATGAACAAAGAGAAAACATTACAATTTAATATAATTATTTTTTAGTTAGAGGTATTAAGTAGTAATAATTCTTGTCTACTAACATTCTATATGTATTTATTTATCACTCACGTGTGTACTTGATCTATGTGATGGCAAGACATGTATTGATTTGATATAGTCAGTTTTAATTTATTAGTAAAATGGAAGTGGGTAATTTATGAGCATTTTTCATGATAGAAAATGTTGGTAGGATGAGGGCACATTTTAGTTTTTGTTTAACATTGACATAAATGGTAATTTAGACGCAAATCTAAGGGGTAACTTAGATTATCTATCATAATAGCAGATGGGTAATTAGATGCAAATTTAGGGCTTCGTTTAATGTATGTTTTATAATGGCATAAAGGTAATTTATATATAGATTAAGAGGTTACTCTAGATTTTTCATGATGGCAGAGGTGGATAATTATTTAGAAGATAGAATAGATCTAATGATTATTACTATCGGTGGTGATTAGAGTCTTGAAAATTGATGGCTAGGTCTTTGTGATTTTTGAGAGAATTTATAAGATTTATTTATTTCTCTCACGTTTTACGAGGATTAACGTGAAGGCTTCGTTGGGGACCTTCAAAATATGTGTTGTCATCCTTTGCGCTATAGATCTTTGGCATTATCTTTCATAATGTGGAGGTGGATAAAATAAATGCAAATATTTAGGGGTTTTTCAAATTATATTTCACAATGGCATCCCATCTGATCTCCATGGTGGAGGCAGGTGGCAGCATCCAAAAAGACAACATGGTGATGGCAATAGGTGCTGTGACGGAAGCAGGTAGGGAGGAAACATGGTGAGTAGCAGCTAGGGAGGTGGATAGCTCGGTGAGGGCCGAACCCATGATGGCTGTGGGGGGATACGGCGACAACATGCCTAGCCATGTTGGCTCCCATGACCAGGCCCGGCCCTGGAGGGGGGCAAACGGGGCAGCCGCTGCAGGCCCCCCAGACCAAGGGGCCCCAGGTATGTACGATGTATATATGTATTGACATCCACCTTGAAAGCTAGTAGCTGCTAGTGCTAGAAAGTAGCAGCCCGTAATAACAATCTATATTTATTCATTATACTTGGTTTCATTTGCTTCTTTTGTCTGTTTATTAAATTTCAACACCACCATATTATGCCAAAAATAGTCTTCCAGAAATGAGAAAAGGAGACAAAAAAGAGTAAGAAGAAATAAGTAAATGAATTAATGAGTCAGAGAGTATCCATTATAAATCTTTTAAGAGTCATACAAGCTAAGAAATCTATATGAAACAAAATTTTTTTTGCCAAACCAGTTAAGATAGAATAGCTCCTCAAGAGTAGATCCTTAAAACCCACTCTTATAGAAGTAAATGAATTAATGAATCAGAGAGTATCCATTATAAATTAAGTACTATTAATATGATTTTTATATTAAGGGATTCTGAGTTTGAGTTTGGCTCTGGGCCTCAACAATCCCATGACCGGCACTGCCCATCACTCTACCCCCAACATCTAGCACCAGAGCGATAAGCAGGCCTCCGAGAGCCATGATACTGTGTAGATCCATGTGAGAAGGTGGATCTATCGTTTTTTTAGTGGATTAGGTAGAAAATGGATTGGGTTGGCTGAAGATTTGGTCTGAGAGGGGGAGAAGAGTGGTGGGTAACGACGCGCCCGATCTCACATCACGTGGTCCAGGTTTCTGTTCTTGCCTATAGAATTGTTTACTGAGTTTAGATTTAGTCTTTGTGTCCATGATTCTCCTACTTAAACTGCGGGTGAGTATTAGATGTAATTGTACTATATTGTAGCACATGCTCTTTTTCTGGCCTATATATACACAAAAGGTTATCCACCCAAAAGGTACAAGATGTTTTCCAATTTTCTAAACTTCAGTAAAAGTAGAGTTAGTTCCCTCTAGCCATTCAAAGTTATCTCACTAAACAGTTTGGATTGATTTGATATGAAATATGGACTGATAAAAATTTAATCAGCAAAGATGAACAACTTAATTACCAAGGATGTAAGGAAACTTGATGAGGACATGACACCCATGCATATGACCATGTTTGGCGCAGGGTATGGAGGGGTAGGAGACCAGCAAGGGTGTCCAAGTCAAGAAGGAAGCCCGAGGCTAATTCGGTTCGAGTCCCCGAGGTGGAGGCCCAAAGCAACTCAAGTTCGAGCCCGTCTCGGAGTCCAGGACCAGTCTGCCTTAAACTGGTCACCAAGGACGCATCCGGACTCCGTTTTCGACGATTCACGTATGGATGAAAAGCTAATTAGATAAGGAAGCCAATGCAAGTGGTCTCACGTCAAAAGACCTTCAGAATCAACGGAAATCGTCGAACCAAGTTAGCGTCTAGAATCTATCAAGGTGCTGCGACACCGTCTTTTGGTCCGTTGGACCGTGTATCGTGTATCGTGTTTGGGCCCATTAAGGGGCGTGTCCAGGGGGGTGACGCCCAAGACTCTATAATTAGCAGCCGTCGCTCTCTTTAGGGTCTGTGTTTTGTTTAGTTCTTGATTTCCTCGTGAATCAGACGTCGTTTTGCTGCAACTATGCCGCCAAGACCGCTTGTTGTGAACCAGGGCCCCAGTTCTTGATCTTATTCGCCTGTGGCAATTAGTCCCTTCGAATAAAGACTTGAACTCCTTCTCGTTATCATAAGCCTCATATTTATTTGTAATTTTCAGATTGCGTTCATCCCATTATTGCTTGTGTTCTCGATTCGCTTGCAGGAAAGCCTTCTCGGCGAGGTCAATCGCGTTCGCGTGGTTGATAACCAACGGAGCAGTAGTGTAACGGTTGCGAGGGTCCGAATCAGTCTTGGTTCGAAGCCTAGATCGTGAACGTCGAGTCTCCACCAATCGACGCTATCATACCTATCGAAAGATCGGGCTATCTCTGCATCAAAACTAACCCGACAGTTTAGACTAGCGTGATAGTTGTGAGACACCAAAAATCCTTCTTCTGCAATATAGAGACGAAGTCACCGAGGAGGACAACCGTGGTCCATGTAAGCACCAGCAAACCAAGCCCCCTCACGCCCATCAACAGGTATCCCATGAATACAGCGTAGTTATTGATTGTGTCGACCTCAGGCCAATAATTGTCATCAACCGAATTTTTTTAGTGGCCTTTATATATTCTTCTTTTGAGGAGCCAGTGTCAGTCAAATGAAAAGCCTGCAAGACAACTTAGGCCCTGTTTGGTTCCGAGCTTCTAAAACTTTAGTTCCTAAAAGTTTTAGATAACCTTCTAAAACCTTCTAAAAGAGTGTTTGGTTGCACCTCCTAAAACTAACTAAAAGCAATAAATGTTGTTGAACAAAGACATTTTTATCCTTCTTTAGGAGAGAGAGAGGGGGAGGGGGCAATAAATGAGAGGTAGTGGGGGTCCAGGAAGGACTTTAGGAGGTTTTAGGAGGGTGTAGAGCTCCTAAAGAAAAACCAGCATCCTAAAACTTTTAGGAGGTTTTAGAAGGGGGTGTTTGGTTCTTTAGACAGATTCTATCTAGATTTTAGCTCTAAAACTTTTAGGAGGGGTAACCAAACAGGGCCTTAGAAGACTTAATAAGAAGAGGGTCTCTTATATATAGCATCTTGAAGAGTTCCCAAAATACCCGCTCAATACAGGATTTTTGGAAAAAAAAAAGAAAAAACATATCTCCAACAACTCCCAAGCCCTTTGGCTCCCAATCTTTGCACTTGAAAAAAAGAACCCCTACACGTAGAAAAATACGCGGACTCCACGCGCGTATCCTCCTTGCGGGAGGGTTCCGGGCGATCTATTCCTCGGCGACGACTTCTGGCGCCGTCGGGCAGGCCGCCAGGTCGTTGGCTCGCTAGCGATCCCGTCCGACTTCAAGCTGGGCCACTACATGAAGGTACCCCCGAGCTCCATGTTCTCCGCGCAGCTGGCCGGAACGCTGATGGCGTCCAACGGTGTGCCCCGGCGACGACGTCTTCTGCAACGCGTCCATCGTCGGGCCGCTGCGGATGTTCAGGAGCCTTGGCAACTGCTCCAGCGCGCGTACCTGACCAACGGCGCGCTCGCCGGCGTCAACCTGCCGCTCGTCTTCGCCGGCGCCAGTGGGGTGCTCCCTGCACGCAACGTCAACTTCCTCGTGTGGGGGCTCGT